TGGGAGATCCTGGTGGGTGCTCTTTTTCCCCCTGAAGGCAGCTGCCTAGGTGTCCCTCATCCTTCCTCTTTCCTCCTCATCCACTGAATGGCCACAGGGAGGAGCACTTGTCCAGAAAACAGGTATGTGGCTTGGGGAGGGAGTTGTAGCTGCGGAAGATGCCGAATTCCTTAATCTTCCACAACCCCAAAATAGAGGTATCTTTTGAATTCTTTTGTTTTTACATGCAAGAATGAAATAAACAGACTGACATCCTCAGTCAGAAGAGACAGGTTTCTCATACCAATCATATTGTAAAATAACAGCTTCAGATGCAAGGCCACTAAGGCAATCTCCCCTCCATTCCTGAATCACCCTTCTTTGTTCCTCTGCATTGAGTACTGAAGCTGTGGTGGCTGGTGGCTTGTCTATTTGCGGGATGGTGAAGTGCTGTGAGTTATAGTCCAAACTTCAAAAGTGGCTCAAAAAATGGGATCAGGGTATGGGTGGCCTGGATTCTAAGGTGGTCTGCCAAGGTTGTTGATGGTGAACTCAGAGCATCCAATGGGCCAGAGGCAGAAGATCAGGTCAGAAAGCAGACCAAGGTCTAAGCACTAAAGGCAGAAATCCAGGAGTCCAGTGGGCAGGAGGCAGAAGCAGGAGACAGACCAAGGTTTAGACTAGCGTAAGGCTATCAAGATGAGGCAGCATAGAAAACCATGATGCTGTGGCAAGGATTGCAAAGCCAATGCGACCCTTTAATAGCTGTACTACCAACTGCTTCATCTGCTCTGCATGAGTAGAACTGGCTGTGCCTGTTGACTAGCCTTGATTCTTCCAGGACTCTGGAAGTTTGGGCTGGGTCCTGCAATGACTTTGGCGGCAGGACTCCAGCAGCCAGAGATCCCATCCTGCAACAACTTATACAGGCAAACTCTTACACTCAGCATCTTAGGTAGTTCCTTGGCTGACAAATTTCCTGAGATTACAGTCAAGGTAGCTCGTTTTTGTGCAGCAGCAATAGCTTGTCAGCATAGCATGCTGTCTAAATATTAACAATATTATCATTTTACATTTTCTTACTAAAATCATTGTAACACAAATATTTTATATTTAATCCTATTTTTAACTCTGCATTTAATATTGTATTTTAATGTATTGCATTGCATTTTATCTATCCCATTTTGCTTCCTTTTTACTGGTCATTGACCGAGATAAATATATGTGTATATGTAGCTCATTTAAAGTTTGAGCTAAAACCCGGAACAAATTCACTACTTCACTGCCATGAAAGCCACCAGCTCTACTGTGCAGAGGACTTTGCTCAAGAAGCAGCAAAGAGAAATCTTGAACAGACAATCCCTGTAGGCCCCAAGGTCCCAGTGGCACAGATTAGGAGGCTCAGCTGTTTCATTTTAAGAAGCTTTACTGATGTCAGTAAAAGATGTCACTTCAACTTAACAGGCAAAGGGTACAATAGTTGGTCTCAATATGCGAATATTTGTCTTATTCCCCTAATATCTTATTAGCTGTTTAATACTGGCTGTGGGAATGGGATCCCTTTTTTTTTTTAAAGGGGGGGATCATGATAAGCTTGGAATGAAGAGTCCCTAATTAAACACCGCATATATCCAAGCACAGGAGGGATAATGGGAGATAGCAGTGGCTGCAGGTTAAAGTATAAAGGACAGACAAACAGAGCAAAGCTCATGATAAAGCAGAGGGGAGAGGAGGAGAAAATATAATGTCAAAATGAAAGGATGCTTGGCATCAGAATAGCCCCCGTAAAAAAGCATAGTTCACTCCTGTCAATCTCCTCAAACGTGGAGGAGAGGAAAAGGAAAGAGCCAGAGAATAAGCTGTAAATGCTTTGCTAAAAAGCAGCAGGCCCATAATTATACATGATTACAAAGGTGAATATTTGACAGTGACATTCTGATGCATTAAAAATGAATCGGAACACTTGTCTGTTGCAGTGAGCTAACCCTTTTGCTATGCTTTGTGTCCAAGTATTTACTACTCATATGAAACTCAAGGGTTTTGTCTCTGATACATTTTCCAATCAAATCAAATATTTAGCAATTTATTCCCCCATTCAGCACTTACAAGGGAAATGTACACATGACTAATGTACCAGAGATAGCCATCATTTCAATCCTCCTCCCTTCAGCTTCCTTTTTATAATATCCATTGTAATTCAGAGGCACATGTCCACTCTTAGATCTCAAAGAAGGTGATTGGAGATCCTTCCAAATCCAGAAGTCCTTGTCACTCTTATGATTCTTGGACATTATATGGTAGGACTGAAAGGCCACAACATCTGAAGGGCCACGTGTTGCTCAGTCCTACTGAGAGCAGGGACCTACTGTCAAATGAACCATTTGTAAGATGGCCTGAGAGCCTTTGTGGCTGACAAATGGTGTACATATACTTTAAATAAAAGAAATATAATGAAAACAGGAGGTGATTCTCTGTACACTGCTAAGATAATTTGTGAAGTCTCTGATTAAAATGGTTCTTTCTTTTTCTTTTTTTTTATAACGGGCATCAGCAGAAACTCTTTAAAAACAGATGGTTTCTAGAATGGTTCTAGAACAAATCACACTAGAGCTATCTCTGGAAGCCAAAATGATTTGATGATTTTGTACTTTGGCCACATCATCAAGAAAGATAAATGATTAGACAAGGCAATGAAACTAGGAAAGATGTAAGGCATTAGAGAGGAAGACCACATGCCAAATGGTTTGACTCAACCATCAAGGACATGGGCCTGAGCCTGCAGGACCTGAGCAGAGGGGTTGAGGATAAGGAGTATTGGATTAGAGAGATATCATCCACAGGGTCACCATGAGCTGAAATTGAAGTCAAGAGCAGTTAACCCTTGGGATGGTTATTTGGTTTTCCTCAGAAGATCAAGATTTGCCAATATGTTCCACTTTGAAATCTTCTATTACATCCATCAGTTGGAACTAGGGGTGTTATTCTTCACAGACAGTCTGTATAGACTGGCCAAAAGGGCCAGCCTGGGGGTGGAGTTGGGGTGGGGCGACTGCATGGCAGCCTCCCCGACTCTACTCTGCTACTGCTGTTACACCGTGTACACCACCACATGGTGTGCGGTGTCTTGGTGCCCCGTTGCACCAAATGGGCACCAAATGCACCAATGGGCACAAAAGAGCTGTGGTGGTGTCACTAAAGGTGGCTTTTGCCACTCCAAAAAGGAGTGGCATTTGCCAGCTCTTTTTGGAGCAGCAAAACGGCGAATTGGGGCCACGGTGTGTGGTTGCTGCAGTTTCAAGATCCCTAGTTTCCATGAGAGGGCACAGCTGGTGTATCAGTCGAAGCTGATAACAGGCACTCCTGACTGTCGCATTTACCTGATTGGACATCTGAAGCGACAGATCCAGGAGCACCCCCAGACTGCGAACACAGTCCTTGGAGGAGAGTGTGACTCCATCTAGGACTGGAAGTTGTATTCCCAAACCTGGTTTCAGGCCCATGACTGTTAGTAGCACCATTTTATCTGGATTCAGTCTCAATCTGTTTTTCCTCATCCAGTCCATTACTGTCTTCAGACAGTCATTGAGAGGAGAGACGCCATCTAAAGTTGAAGCCGGCAACCAGGTCATGGAGAAGTATATCTGGGTGTCATCAGCATACTGATG